TTTTGACATTGCACCCCCCTCCCTTGTGGTTGTAAGACGTCCTGAGTCCCCTCAGGGAAAAGGGCGGCCTATAAATCCCAATAAACTCAAACTCAAACTTAAAATGTCTCTGACAACAGGTGTGAGATAAGCACATTGGAATCTGGCTAACTTGACAACTGCATGGATAAATGTTAGCCATCTTGATCTATTGTAATAGGTATAGCTCTTCAAAGGGCATTCCTTAATCTTAAACATTCTTAACCCTATCCATCCACTTATCTGTCATTGTCATTTACTTCCCTCAGCCTTGCCAAGCATAGTTTTGCTCTATTATCTATTTACATCTCACGTCTGAAATATATAAAATTCTCTTTGCTGCTCATTGTCTGAAAGGAGCAATAAGTTTTATTTAGTCCAGGCCTGATCGAACAGTTCACCTTGAGGATCATAATACCTTTAAACTCTGTCTCAAGTTTCATAACTAGAAGACATCACTATTAGAAAAACCGTAACTTTCATAACTCCGATTTCTGTTGTCACAGAAATTGGTTTAACCTCCATGATCTTAACTATGTCATTGTCTGAGTCCATCCTCAAGGTCAAGGCGGCATTGACCAAAGCTAGCTATGCTAAAATGATTTATTTTTTTAAAAAAATTAAAAATATTTTTAAAATATTTATTTTTATTGTTTTCGTGACCGCCGCTTCTTAGAAGAAAAAAAAGACAACTGAAATTACTCAAAGCAAGTGTGTTTCAAATCATTTTGACTGGGAAAGCCAATAAAAGTTCAGAGACTCAAGATTCGCGGTCAGAAATTTGCTGAGAAAAATTACTTGAGCACAACGGACACTACTCCAAGCGTGATCTGTTGTAGCGCTGCCATCTAGAGGAACCCGGAAGGTGAACATATCGGTGGATGCAAAATGTACAGTAAAATGGTTTTACTGGAGAAGATGGGAAGCATAGCACTGCCGCTAGTGTTCAGATAAAACCGTGTCTGCAGAATGCTTTATTAGGCCATATAACATAGGCATTATATATTTCATAATATAATATTTATATATTGTATGTATGCGTATAATATAATACTCTATGTACATTAAAGCCACACATTCTCCTAGCCAAAGAGCACATCTGCATTCTTAAAGCTTATTAAACCACAACTTCCAGCATTCCACGCTCTTTCGCCGGGCCTGCCGGAAGTTGTAGTTCAATGGGCTTCTGAGTTTCCCATGGTCGCCCCGCGCGCCAGTTCTTCCTCTTCCTAGAAAACGTTGTCTCTAAGCCGAGGCGTCGGAACGGGGGGGGGGGTGAGGCGCGCGCTTGCGCGAATGACGTTGACGTCGCCGCCGGGTTCGGTATCACGGGTTTCTGCGTGAAGGAGGCGGAGCTCTGGAGAGGGGGAAAAAACCTGGAGCGGGCAGGGAGAGAGGAAGGTCTGGCTGGATAAGGTGACGGCCGCGGGGTGGGGGGGCAGCCGTGGTATCCTTCCCCCTGCCCCTCGCCCGCGGGAGTGCCCTGGTCTTTCAGCCGCCGCCTCCTCTCTATCTCCGTCCCCCGTTCCCCCCATCTCACCCTGCAGCTTTC